TATATATATATATATATATCTTCAATTATATTTTTTCTCTTTTTTCTCTTTATACAACAAGTACAAACTACTGAAATAATATCCTAATTATGTGTATGAAAAGAAGCATTTTCAAATTGCAGTAAATATATATATATATATATATATATCTTCAATTATCAATAAATAATTTTTTCTCTTTATACAACAAGTACAAACTACTGAAATAATATCCTAATTATGTGTATGAAAAGAAGCATTTTCAAATTGTGTATTCCACAGTAAATATCGAATTTAGTTAGAATATTGATAAAAATCAATCGTTTATTAAATCTTTCTTACGTAATAAATGCGAAATGACATTTATTAAGGTTAGATTCGTTTTTAGAATGAGTTGAATTTAAATGCTTCAATGAAATACAAACTGAACTCAAATAAATTAACTGCAATAATACAATATTATAAAGATTTCATACTATATTAATATAGTATGTATCGATAAATAATTACTTTTTTTTAGCACCTACAGATACAAGTCAACGAATTTTCTTCTCGACTGCACAAGATTATTACAAATAGAACTAGAGAACATAAAGATCCTAGATGCGCAAATCTTGTCTCTCTTTATTTTGATTGGTTGATAAAACGCTCTGACGAATGTGACCTCCTATTATTGTCCAAGAATAATCTCGACATTTGCTAGGATTTTTTGAAAAGAAAAGATTGACAGCACTGCCGGTCAAGATGTCGCGGGCAGGATTTCCGGTAGCGGAAGATCTCTGTCGTGTCGTGTCGCGTCGAGTGGCTTGTGTGTAGATGCACGACAAATTCGATCGAATAACGATATGACGGAAGCGGACGTAGTGGTGTTGGACGATCCCGTCCCGAAGGAGGAGGTGGCGCATTTCCTCGCGCCGGCGATCCAGCACAATCCGGACGGTTGGGGCCCGTGCGAGCTGCCGGATCAATTTAAGGACATTCCTTATCAGCCATTTTCGAAGGGCGACAGGTTGGGCAAGGTGAGCATGTGCGAGCCGTGTTCAGGTCTCGTTATCTTTTTCATTATAAACAACCTCATTTACGTTTCTCGTTGTTGTAGATCTCCGACTGGACGACGCCGGCCTTCCAGGACAAAAAGTTCCCAAGTACGTATCTCGTCTCTCTTCTGATTGAGGTTTGCTTAACCTCAAAGATCCAAAACTCTCAAGGATTTGAGAACAGACAGTCTCCCTGGCATTTTTTTGCGTTGCATATGTTGTATTTGATTAACGATGAAAGATTTTTATATGATTAAATTTAAACAAGACTGTGAATTATGGGATGAAAGATTTGACAGATGTATATCATGTTTGATGTACTATATCAAATTATAATTGTTATAATTCTTTTTTACATTTTATTTAAATACAAGATTGAATTTTGTAAAGTATGCAAGTTATGCATACGATTGGATAATGATATATAATGTAATATTTTTTGATAAGTATATCATAATATTATAACTTGATCTCTTAAATTATATTTGCAATATTCAAGATGCGCTGTCATAAAAGTCATATATTGTCAGTGGTCATACAATTATTTGAGTTTTAATAGATGCATTAGATCCATTTTTGTTTTATCCGAAGATAGGTACTCTTGTAACTTTCCATTTTATTGGTATTATATTACATTAAAAGATTATAAGAATATCGTAAAGATCTTTTCTTGAGCAAAATATTTATCAACTTAATATATCTGTATATCAGTTTAGTTGTTATCAGTCTAGTATAATCTAATTTATTCATAAAAAATAGATCACAAAACTTGTATATAACAATCAAAGTATTGCTTTACATTATCTTTATGCTATATATGGAGAATTAATATATCAAGTGATATATTATGATTGCATGTATGTATAAATGGCATAACTTTCAGATAAATATACATCGCAATTTGGTTCTGGCAGTCAATATGCTTATTACCACGATGAAGACGAGACCACTTTCCACTTGGTGGACACCACACGCGTGCAGAAACCGCCATACCAACGTGGCCGTTTCCGTCACAATCAGCGCAACTTACGCGGTCGTGGCGGTCAACGCGGTGGGTTGAGTCAAATGCAACAGCTAGGAAAACTCAAGTTGCGGGAACGGGAACGTAAGGGACAAACAAAGCGCTGGGGTAGACAGCAAGGTCTGCGTAATCACAAGAATCAGCCGCCCATCAAGATTCGAGATGCTTCCGTGACAGTGCGACCTGATTGGATTACCATCGAGGAGATGGACTTCCCGCGATTGGCCAAGCTCTCGTTGCCCAATGTGAAAGATGGCGAGGATATATCGTGCTGCGGCTCGCTCGAGTATTACGACAAGACGTATGACCGCGTGAATGTCAAGAGTGAAAAGCCGCTTCAGAGAATCGATCGTATCTTCCACACGGTCACGACTACTGACGATCCTATCGTCCGTAAGTTATCGAAAACGGAGGGCAACGTTTATGCCACCGACGCGATTCTGGCCACTATAATGTGTTGCACGCGCAGCAATTATTCGTGGGACATCGTCATCGAAAAGATCGGCGACAAGCTATTCTTCGATAAGCGTGACAACACCGAGTTTGATCTGTTGACTGTAAACGAAACCAGCGTTGAGCCACCGCAAGACGATGGCAACTCGTTGAATTCGCCGAGGAATCTCGCCCTCGAGGCGACTTTCATTAATCACAATTTCTCGCAGCAGGTGCTCAAGTCGAACGAGCCGCGCCACAAGTTCGAGGAAGGCAATCCGTTCATTTCGGAGGAGGAAGAGAGCGATGTGGCAAGCGTAGCTTACCGTTATCGCAAATGGGATCTCAATAACGGCATCGTGCTCGTCGCTCGATGCGAGCATGACGCCGTGATGCAAGGCCCCAACAACGAGAATCAATTTCTAACGATCAAGGCATTGAACGAATGGGATTCAAAGCTGGCTAATGGAGTCGAGTGGCGTCAGAAGTTGGATACGCAGCGCGGCGCGGTTTTGGCCAATGAATTACGCAACAATGCCTGCAAACTCGCCAAGTGGACGGTTCAGGCGTTACTCGCTGGTTCGGATCAGCTGAAATTTGGATACGTGTCGCGCGCTATAGTACGGGATTCTAGCAAGCATGTGATTCTTGGTACGCAGCAGTACAAACCGAACGAGTTTGCGACGCAGATCAATCTGAACATGGATAACGCATGGGGTATTTTGAGATGTATCATTGACATTTGCATGAAACAGAAGGACGGCAAATATTTGATAATGAAGGATCCGAATAAGCCTATGATTCGGTTATATGATATTCCTGATAATACCTTCGAGAGCGAGGGTGAAGAGGATGAGGACGACGATGAGCCTGTTAATGACGCATTTCAAAGTTAACAGCAACAACGCTAATTATACGCTTGTCATTAATTAATAATTGTGCGATTGATCGGCGCTTTTACCCGAATCTTTGTAGAAGTACAGGAGAGTATTCTTACAAAGAAAATAAATGAGGAGATTTAAGCACATATTGATATATTTAATGCGCAGTTTTATTATTCAAATCTTGATCAAATTAACATTAATTAAATTTCTTATTTCAGAATTTTTTTTTTTCGATAGATATACATGAGAATTTATATAATTTACAGTATATTTCAAAATTGATATATATATATATATATATATATATATATATATATATATATATAATTGTTTAATATTTATTTAACATAACGTAAATTTATTACATATGTAACACTGCTATAAAGAAAGACTCCAAAATTCTAAAAGGAAATTTTGTATCAGTTTCGTATTTATCAAATTTTGAGAAAAATATGCATGCTGCTAGTGCCAAGAAAGAATATTTGCCAAAAAAATATAATATACAATTTGAATGACATGATCACAAAATTTTATCGAAGAACATTTGATAGAATTATTTGGAATAACACTATTGAGAAAAATAGCTTTTGTATTTTTCTATTTGGCAATAATCAAAATATTTAAATAATAAAGTTTCATTAAATTAAACAAAGCATATTTGTATTTTTTTCATAATATTTTTATTAATTTTTATAATCATTGAATTATGACATAAATAAATAGTTTATTATTTAATTTTTTGGAAATTGGAATATATACATATTTTTATTTATTACACATACATTTAGAAAATTATCTTTATTCATTGGCACTTTTTAGAAAAATTGTGAAGAAATTCAAATCTCTACTTGAGGATCCAACTGTTTGATGACATATCTTAATTTACGTATGGCAGCATCTACCATTGAATCATCAATATCGTAATAAAGTACTAATCTGACCAAAGTTTCCGTCAAAGCCAAGCATCTGATTATGATCTTGTCATCTTTATCGAAATTGTTTACTTGATGGAGCCTCTTCATGAAAGTCACAGCAGAAACGCCATTGTCGACATTCACGTTTATAAATATTATATTGGTGTGCATAGTTTTCAGATTTATGTTAAATATTTTAGAATTCAACTGATTGATCGCCTGTGCGATCGCTAATGCTCTTCTGTGATCCTCCGCTAATCGCGGTACCGTTTCTTCCAGAGCGACGAGCCCGGCTGCGGCGATTATGCCGACCTGTCTCATTGCGCCACCCAGTACTTTGCGCCTTCTTCTTGCGTCAGCGATAAAACTCTTGCTTCCGCAGAGTACGGATCCCACGGGAGCGCCTAATCCCTTGCTTAGGCAAAAAGTAACTGAGTCGAACGGAGCGGCTAATTCCTTCACCGAGATCCCCGACGCGACCGAGGCGTTCCACAATCGCGCCCCATCCAAATGCATCCTGAGATTATGCTTCCTCGCCACCACTATCAACTCCTCGACCCACGATTGAGGTATTATTTTACCGTTGATTGTGTTTTCAACAAGGACCAACTTCGAGATCGGTTCGTGTATGCGATCCGTGCGAATCGCCCTGTCGAGTTTCTTTAGATCGAATGTGCCATCGTTGTTGTTTGGCAGGGTATGAAGATTCACACCAGCTACTTGCGCCGCAGCAGCCTGTTCATGAAGAAATACGTGCGATTCGTCTCCGCAGTAAGCTTCGCTGCCGCGTACGTTGCAGTGATTCATAACTGGAAAAGGAGACACAGAGCATATTTTTCTGAACAAAATGCGCTTGGCTTTTTGCAACCTTATATTTCAATTTATAAATTTTCATTTATTTTTATTTAAATGATTTCAATCGGTTGAAGCATTAATAAGTGCATAAAAGTTCTGCGTTTTTTACAAATCGATTATAATTTTCTATAAAATACATATATGTTTAAACATCTAATTTGTTGCCCGTGTTGGCAATTTATTTCATTAAAATTATTTGTATGTTTATTTAGAATTTTAATAAAAATAGAAGCCATTTTTCTATTAGCTAAGAGAAGTTGCTTCTTTCGTGATAAGTAAATTATATTAAATATATTTGGAGTATTAAATATATAAAGATGATTTTGGTTAATCTTTTAATATATCGGTTTAAGAAAATCGTGAAGAAATGTACAAAAATTGTTTATCAGTTTTTACCAGCAATCAAGTTTCCCATAGTACCAGAGTTAACAAAAAGCGCATCTTCTTTTCCAAGCAACGCCGCTGCTTTTTTCTGTAATTCTAGAAAATAATAAAATTATTCGATTAAAGGATTATACTGCTAAAATTTCGCGCTTTAAATAGAATATATAGGCTGTCCAAAAAATCGTGATCGAAACTGGCGAGGGAATCATTCTTGTGTGTAGAAGATAAAAATAAGATAAAGAAAAATAAAGATAAATTATTTTAATTGATTGCGTAAAATATGAGTACTAATAATTTTGAATATAAAGAAATAGCGAATATATTTATGTGATTATATATTGACACGTGATTTATTGGATATCTTGTTGTTTTCGATTTAAAATGCGATCTGAATTGTATAATCGCATTCGTTCACCGTATAAAGTGATCATTTTATAATGTGTAATAATTATTTCGGAAATTACAGATCTCTCTTAATTTGAATCTAGCCTGAGATCTTTTCATGTCGCAAGGAATATGCTTTTTTTAATTACCTTTTACCGTAGGATCTTCTTCGTAAACGTCATCCCCCACTTCCGCCTCAAACATAGCTCTCCTCATTGCCGCGGTTGGTTTTGTGAGTGTGTCGCTTCGTAAATCAACGATAATAGCCTAGTATAATCATACACTTAACTCATTTCATAACAGTTCTTACAAAACGATACTTGAATGAAATTTAGCTACTTCTTTGTCCGCAGAAAATTTTTAGAAAAAAAAGTAACTTCTTTTACAAATATTACTTGGAAATATTAACATTATTAAACAACACATACTTTTGAAATATTTATGAGATATTATATGTGAAAATATTTACAGAAAGTTTACATAAAATTAATATTTTCAGATATTAAAATTTTGCTTTGATCTTTTTCTTTCACTTACATCTTTTTCCTTTGCGTAATCATAAATGCCCTCGTTTATTCCGCCGTAAGACATATCGCTGACGTATTAACACGTACAATGTGCAGCAAGTTTACTTTCCTGACTGGCAGTAAATCATTTGATAACAAACCTTTATACTGCATTGTTTCACAACTTTATAGAGATAAGGATAAGTATCTCTACCTTTATACAGTCAAAATATATAACGAAGCGCCATCAAGCATAAGAAAAATTGGTGAGTATATATGTCAATATATATAATTTTAAGGAAATTAACAACTTTATTCATTGATTCAATATAATTATATATAT